ACGTTAACGTAACGGTAACGGTAACGGTAACGGGTAACGGTAACGGGTAAGGTAGGTAGGTAAGGTAGGTAGGAGGTAGTAGTAGAGTAGTAGTAGTAGAGAGAGAGAGAGAGAGAGAGAGAGAGAGAGAGAGAGGGAATCTTCATTAATGGCCTAGACTTTGGAACATTTCCTAAGTTTGTCTTCTCATTGATGGTCCCCCACTAGCACATATCAATTCCCCTCTCATAAATATGAAAGGTCCCACATCACACCACGTTTCCAAAAAAAAAAAGAAGGCATATTAAAACAAGAACTACACACGTTTCGCTCATCTTATTGTGTCCATCTATTAACCATGAAAAAAAAATCTAAAAAAAAAAAAAGAACTGTTGTTTCCATTTATTAACCATGAAAAAAAAAAGTTGTTTCCATTTATTAACCTTGAGATATTATTAATGACAATAATAGGGTGGACACTACATCAAGTATAGAAATAGAGAGCCCCTTCACTGCACTGCAATGCAATAAACTGGAGCAAGGTCTGCAAAAAAAAAACAATGGAAGCCTTCACACCTACCTACCACCCACAAATAAATTTGCTCCCTGTACAACTACAAGAAAACCCCAAAACAAAAACAATATATATATATATAGAGAGAGAGAGAGAGAGAGAGAGAAACAATGTGGACAGAAATGCACATACCATAGTGAAAGAAATGATAGGATCATAGGGCAAGACTATCAGCTGGGTGACCGGTCGGAATCTGACTGCGTCTCTTGGCATGACGCCGGTGGGCACTGGATTTCACAGCCTTGGAACCGGCCAACCGCTTCGAATTGCGAGGGTCGATCACACATTCCGGCAATGGCTTCGAATATCGCTCGCGATCATAACAATAAGAATACGCCATGTGCTTAGTCCTGATCTTTCTCATTGCCGACCGTAGCTCCGGTGAGATCTCGGGCATCGGTAAATGGAACGGACGGCTGTGATCTTCGCAGCTAGAGAGCTGCTGGATCGGGTCGACAGTGCACCCGTCGAGGACTAGGTCGGAAAACTGGGCGACGAAAGGGGCATATTTGTAATTAACTTTGAACCTTCCACCTGAGGTTGCCCAATCTGAACCATCCCAAATTGTGGCATACAGAGACATGGGCTTTGAGGGGTAGTGTGTGCCCATGCCCTCTCTCTTCATCTCTCTAATGGGTACATTATCTATATAGAATCTGCAACATACACACAGAAACATTCTTTAATTGGATTGATCAAGAGAGTTTTCTTATGCAAAAATAATTATTCTTCCTATGAGAGTGAGAGGGCCGCTTTAGATTCTTGCCAACTATTTGTGGAGGAAAAGATTTAAGTGTTCTTCTTATATTTTGTCATTTGTGGGTGCTCTCTTTTGGCTTGAAATAATTATTGTGTAATCTAGAGAGACAAAATGGGTCTTCTAATTTGTGACTTGATGATTTTATAGTGAGAGAAAGTTTGTGGATGCTCTAGAGCCTGTAAATTCATGGCTATTCTTCTGGATTCTCCCCAAGAACTCACGGGTATTCAAGTCCTAGAGAGAGAGAGAGAGACCATTAGTGTTTTTATTTTTATTATTGACTGAATGTTTAGTTTTGGCAGAGGATTATTAATGGATACCCTCTATACTTTTCCCCTGAAAGTCACGGGATACTCTTGATATTGGAGAAACATAGGCCATAATAATATTTGCTATTGATAGTAATTTCAAAATAAATCTGTGATTTAAAAAAAAAAAATCACAGATGAGGCCACTCTTAATGGAAATTGATGCTAATTCTTAATGGGTCCTCTTATTATCTGCAAGAAGGCCACTGGTACCTAAAAAATCACACTGAAAGAGAAATTTTGGTGGGCAAGGAAAAGGTGCATAAATTCTAGAGAGAGAGAGAGAGAGGGAAGAGAACCAGAAGTATATGATATTTTTAAAAAATGATAAATATTGGAGAGAGAGAGAGAGGGAGGAACAGAATGGTAGAGAGAGAAATTCAAACTTACACAATCTGATCTTCAGTCCAGAGAATGCTGTAAGCATGGAAATCTTCAGAAGGATCAAACCATAAATCAAATCTCTCTTCTCTCCCTACATTTGTGCTCCCATTCCCGTACACGTTGGTCTGAACTCTCCACTCTTTTCCTCTTATATTGCCCAAAAACTCAAAATCCAGTTCATCATGATTCTTCTCAAATATATCACCATTAGACATCTGCAAAAAAACAAAAAAACACAGAGACATAAGAGAGAGAGAGAGAGAGAGAGAGAGAGAGAGAGAGAGAGACAGAG